TGGTGCGCACGCGCGTCCCGACGCGGTTCGGCGCCGACGTGTACGTGCACCTGTACCGCAACACGCTCGACGACAAGGAGCACCTGGCGCTCGTCTTCGGCCCGCGGTTCCGGTCCAAGACGCTCGACGCGGCGCGCCCCGGCGAGTCCGACGCCGACCGCCTCACCCGCGGCGCCGCCGTCGCCAAGCCGACGACGTCGGGCCCCGGCGTGCACCCGCGCCACGCCTCGCGCACGGGCGACGTCGCGACGGCCGCCCCGGCGACGCTCGGCGCCAGCGTGCTCCCGCTGGTCCGCCTGCACTCCGAGTGCTACACGGGCGAGACGATTTCGAGCGTGCGGTGCGACTGCGGCGACCAGCTCGACGAGGCGATGCGGCTCATGGCGCTCGCGGGCGACGGCGTGATCGTGTACCTGCGCCAGGAGGGCCGCGGCATCGGCCTGCACGAGAAGCTGCGCGCCTACAACCTGCAGGACCAGGGGTTCGACACGGTCGCCGCCAACCTGCTCCTCAACCACCCGGCCGACCTCCGCACCTACGACGTCGCCTCGCTCATCCTCCGCGACCTCGGCGTCAAGCAGGTCCGCCTCCTCACCAACAACCCCGACAAGCTCGAGCAGATCACCAAGGTCGGCATCGAGGTCGCCGACCGCGTCGGCATGGTCCCCGCCCACTGGAAGGACCGCGCCCACCGCCCGCACGGGCTCGCGCATGTCCTCTCGGGCAAGTCGCACGCTCACTTTGCGCCCAGCGCTAAGAAGGCTGCCCGCCGCGCCGCCCGCAAGGCGGCTGCCGAGACCCCCGCCGTCCCCGCCCCGATCCTCACGTCGACCAAGTCCTCGGGATCCGTCACCTCCGACGCCCACTCCGAGTCCGACTCGGGCCTGCCACCCACCCCGCCCGAGACCGCCGCCGACGTGCTCGCCCTCCGCGGCGCCCGCGACGACGTCGAGGATACCGGCAGCAGCAGCGACGAGGACGAGTACGACGAGGACCTCGCCGACGCCGAGGCCGCACCCGTGTTCCCAGAGATGGAGGCGTACCTGCGCACCAAGGTCGAGCGCATGCGCCACATCATCGACCTCTCCGAGTCGCCCACGCCAGGAGCGACGGCCGCGCCCGCGCGCGAGTCCGCCACGGCGTGAGGCGTGTCGGGTGTTGGTGGTGGGGGGAGGAAAACCGTTGCCGCATCTCGCCTCCCTCCCGCATCTTGTTTGTGATTATTTGTACCTCGCTCCTTGCACACACACACCTGTCTCGTCCTCTCGGCTCTATTAACAACGCTGATACTCGACTGTATTCGTCTCTCTCAGTGTCGTCAGGAAGGCATCGCCGACCTCTCGCGGCGCTCGGACCGCGGCCTGGCTGGCGCCGCGCTCGCCTCCTCGGTCTCCTCGCGCTGGACCTGCGCCAGCGCATCGTCGAATGATATCGGCGCGCGCCGGTGCTGCTTCAGGTACTACACACACGCGCGCCGTCAGCTTCCTTCTCTCAACCCTAGGACGCGCGAGCGAGCGAGACGTACCGCCATCGTGTCTTCGAGCGTCGTCCACTTCATCTTCTGCCGCGGCGCCTCGGCTGTCGACACGGGCACCACGGCGAGCACCGTAGCGAGATGATCGACCAGGTTCACCTGCGCCGCCAGCATCGCGTGCCACGCATCGACCTGCTCGCGCGTCAGCTGGCCGAGGTGCGCGGGCGGCGGGGAGGAGGGGGGCGGGGCGGGGACGGCGTAGGGATGCGATGTGTGGCTGTAAGACGGAGCGGGAGCCGTCGGGTGGTGGTGGTGGCAGTACGGCGACGGCGCGGGCGGAGCGGGGGCGTGGCAGTGGCATCCGCAGCACGACGAGGTGGGTGGTGGTGGTGGAGCCGAGCACGACGACGGCCATGTCGGGGCGTGGTGGGGGTGCGGATGCGTGTGAGAATGAGGGTACTGCTGCGGCTGAGCTGGTAGCGCGCGGGCAATGACCGCGGCGATGATGGACGCGAGGTCGGACGCGTCGTTCGCGAATGCGGCGGCCGGAACGACTGGTGGCGGAGGCGATGCCGCGGGAGCAGCGGCCGGCGTCGGCACAGGCCGGCTGGATCCCGCCGCTGGTGCGGGTGCAGACGCGGTGATGGGAGCGGGCGGCGGAGGCGAACGCGCCGCGACGGGTGCGGGTTTCGGCGCGGCGGGTTCGACGCATACAGGTGGTGCTGGTCGCGTGGCGGGCACGCTGGCCGGTGGTGGCGAAGCGGACGCTGCGGCAGCCGGTTGAGCGACGGCGGGCGTAGGCGCGGCGGGTACTGCGACAACCGCCGCGGTCACTGGAACTGGATCCGCGGCCCGCGTCGCCGCAGGCGCGACAGCGACCGACGCGACAGTCGTATTCGCGCCCGTCGTATTCGCTGCATCGTCGTACTCGTCAAAGTCGTCGTCATCGTACAACGCCGGGGACGGCGACCGCGGCGCCGCGCTCCTTCTCCCGCTGGTCGCCGACCGCCGCGAGCTCGCGATCGACGCTGCAGACGCGGACAGCGACGCCACCGATGCGGACCGTGAAGTACTGCTGCGCACGGACTCGGAGACGACGGCCGACTCGCTTGCGCTCCGTTCGGTCGAGATGGCTTCGGAGCTGATGAGCGAGTCGGACGCCAACTCGCTCGCGATCTCGCTGCTGATGGGTGAGGAGGAGGACGTGGCGTCGGCTTCGGACGCGACGCTGAGCGGGATCGAGGACGCGGAGATGGACGAGACGATGCGGCTCGAGATGGTGGCCGAGTGCGGGGTCGGGGTCGCGGGCGGTTTGAGGGTTGCTGCGACTGGCGGCGCAGGAGGGAGGATGGGCGCGGGGGCGGGCGCGCTCGCGGGCGGAGGAGCGGCAGCAGGTACGGGGACCGGTGCAGGCGGGCCAGGCGCCGGCGCAGCCACGGTCGAGACCACAGCGGGCGACGGCGACGGTGAAGCGACCACTCGTGCAGGACCACCCCCGCCGCCGCTGGCCGCCCTGCGCGCGAGCCACCGCTGCTTGGCGAGGGGCAAGTCGCTCGCCGTCTCGGGCGCGACATGGTCCGAACTGCTCGTGTCCGAAACGACGATCTCGCTGCTGTCGACCGAGATCTCGGACATGGACAGCGAAAAGTCGGCACCGGCGGTACTCCCGTTCCCGCGCCCGCTGCCGCGGCGGCGGCTCGACGTGGACACGGTGATCATGGATGGCTCGTCGCGAGCTGGCGCCGCCGCTGCAGCCGCCGCGGAGGCAGCGGGAGGGCGTGGCCGCGCCTCGAGCGTGTGCAGGAACTGCGACAGGTCGTCGAGCTCGGGCGACGCGGCCTTGGGCGGCGGCGCCTTTGACCGCGCGCTTGGCCTCGGGTTCCGGATGACGATCGAGACATCGGACGGGATCTCCGACTCGGCGAGCGAGATCGAGATCGAGTCCGTGTTGAGGTCATCGGTCGCGATTGAAATGGAGCCCGTGGGCGCGGCCGACCTCAGTGCGCCGAACGAGCGCGGGGTCGCGGGCGACCGCGACGTGGCGGCGCCGGCGAGGTCGTGCGCGGACCGTGTCGGGGTCGCGGCGGACTGCGTCTTGCGCGGCGACGCGCTGCCCGCGCGCAGGTACCGCTCGGCGCGCTCGAGGGCCGACGGGCCGCCGGTGGTCCCGACGCGCGTAGAGGCCGCGGGGGCAGAGGAGGGCACGCCGTAGCGCAGCGGCGAGGTGGTCGGGGCGGAGGCGGCGGCGGCGGGCCGCTGGCGCACGGGCGACGCGGTGGCGGTCGAGGCGCCCGACTTGAGGTACTTGGACATGGTCTAGTCTAGTTCATTGGCTTGGCTTCATGGATGGAGCGCGATGCCGCAAGTCGCGTCGCCATGGTCATGGTGGCGGGGCAGCGACGCGCCCGTCTGCTTGAGGTGCAAGGAGCAAGAGCGCGAGACGTCTCCCGTCGCGTCTCGCACCGGGCAGCACGCTCGTCACGCGCCTGATGGGCCAATCGCGCCGATCCTCTTCTCCCCTCAAGCTGAACGACGTAGCGCATGAACAAGACCATGTCCGACTCGGAAGACTATGCAAACGACCCGCCGCAGCGCGGCGCCCTGCCCGTCGCCCTGGTACGCCCCCCGCACCCACACCCGCGGGCGGCAACTGACCCCGGCGCGACCCAGTAGTACCCAGTAGGCGACCCGTCGCTCCCGCCCGTGTCGGGCGAAGAGTACCTGCGCCGCGTGCGCGAGGAGTCGCGCGCGCTCGGCCCCGTGCGCGTCGTCGCGCCAAGGCCCGACCTGTTCCCCGCCGCCACCGACGACTCGGTCGACGACGCACCACCATCCGGCTTCCCGCAGCCAGACGACCCCGCGCCCACCCTCGACCGCGCGTGGGCGGACCGCACCCTCGCCGAGTTCACGCGCCTGCACGCGCGGCTGCTGGCGACGCGCGAGGCGCGGGTCCCGCGCGGCCCGGGCGGGATTGCGTACACGAACTCGACCCCGACCTTGCCACCCGTCCCGTCGGACCTCGCCGCGCTCGCCGCCGAACTACCCGCGGCGCCACGCGCGCGGCCGCAGGACTGGCACGCGTTCCTGTACGGCGGCGCGGGGCAGCACGGCGGGTTCGGGTCGCCGCCGCTCGACGCGGGCGCGCGTGCGGTCTGGCGGCCGTCGATGCTGCTGCGGCTCTCGCACCGGTCGCTCGTGGCCGTCCTCGTCGCGCACCGGTACTGGATCACGCCCGCGATGCACCCCGCGGCGCTCGTGGTCCGCGCCAAGACGATTTACTGCCTCCTCGCCGCGCTCGAGCCGCTGCTCACGACGGATGATGTGAGTGGGATCCGCGAGATGGCGAAGCGGTGTGCGGCTGTGATGCGCGCACTCGAGGGGCGGCAGGGTGAGGGGGAGGAGGACGCGGTGAGGCAGGACGCGGTCGCCGGGCTCGGGATCGTGCTCCTCATCGCGAGCCAGCACCTCGGGCAAAAGGATTTGTGCGAGCTCGTCTAATACACAATTTTCCGAATGCAAAAGAGACTGTGGAGGGAGGGATTTGAACCCCCGTCCGGAACTTTGAGCAATATGTAACGCGGGTCCCATCCGTTACATATTGTTCAAAGTTCCGTGCGTGCCCAACTCCGCCACCTCCACCTGTTCGCGCCCGCACGCCACGACCGACCCAAGTACTCACCGCCCAGCAACGTGTGTGACGTGGAGGGAGGGACTCGAACCCCCGTCGCCGCTCCCGAAGGGGTGCCTCGCGGAGAAGGGACCCGTGGTTCTCCGCGAGGCACCGCCCGCGGGAGCGGCCGCGTGACCAACTCCGCCACCTCCACGTATTGATTGGATTGCATGGACTGGTTGCACTAGGTCTGCTGCGGTCATGGTCGCCGGCGAGAGGGAGAGCGAGAGAAGTTGGGCGGCCGCTGGACGAGCAAGAGCGCGCGCGCGCCACAAACCGAGCATGTCCACGCGCCACGTGAGGCGGGCTGATCAGGTCGCGCTCCTCCTGTCTGCTCTCTCCACCTCGTCTCGCGGCCGCTGCAGCTCTGTCTCGCACGCACACGCTAGACGCAACGGAACACACTCAAATGACATCAAGCATTGACCGCAAACGCATCAACGGGCCCGAGCGCTCCGTGGTCCCGCTGCCGCTCGTGGCCGACGACGCGACGCTGTCGCGCGCCGTGCGCGTGCTCAACGTCCACGGCAAGCGCGCCGACGGCCGCGATCCCGAGGCCATGCGGCCCATCTGTATGTCGGGGATATCATCATCGCCAGTGCGACGACCATCGCGCTCACCCCCCGAACCCCGATCCCCGTCGTCGTCTAGTCATGCAGACGGGCACGATCAGCAAGGCCGACGGGTCGGCGTACATTGAGCAGGCCAACACCAAGGTGGTGTGCGCCGTGTACGGCCCGCGGCCCGACCGCAAGATGACGGACCCGGACCAGGGCCGGCTCGCCGTCGAGTTCCGCCTCGCCACCTTCGCGCAGCCCAAGCGGCGCGGGTTCGTCAAGGACGTGGTCGAGAAGGAGTACTCGCGCGTCGTCGCCGAGGCCCTCAGCCCCGCCGTCCGCCTCGACTCGTTCCCCAAGGCCTCGGTCGACGTGCACGTCACGGTCCTGCAGGACGACGGCACCCTCGCCGCTGTCGCTGCCGCCATCACCGCCGCGAGCCTCGCCCTCGCGGACGCCGGGATCGAGCTGTTTGACCTCGTCTCCGGCGCCGCTGCCGCGTTCGCCGACGACAACACGATCCTCATGGACCCCGCGGCCGACGAGGAGAAGCTCGCCCGCGGATCGCTCCTCCTCGCCTTCATGTCCAACGTCTCCCAGGTCTCGCAGCTCATCCAGTCCGGCAACGTCCAGGGCGAGACGGCCGAGGAGGCCATGGACTACTGCATCGACACGGCCGCCGAGATCCACACCCTCATGCAGGAGTGCCTCTCGCACGCGGCTGCTGCGGCTGCAGGGGCTGCGAGCGACGACGAAGAGGACGAGGACGCGATGCAGGTCGTCAAGAGTGAGGCGGAGGACGCGATGGAGGTCGTCAAGAGCGAGCCATCCGCGTAGTCGCGCTGGCCGGCGGTATAATACATGAATCCTTGAACCTAGCCTCCCTCACGTCGTCTCCCTGACTCGACCGGGGTCGCGTCGCCGACGACACGGCGCACGCGCTCGTTCGCCTTCGAGCCCGCGATGGCGAGCCGTGCGAGGCTGCTCGCCACGTCGCCGACCGCGGAACACGCGGTGGCCGCCATCAGCGAGTCGTACCCGTCACTACGCCGGCGACGCGACGTACGCCATGACCGCCTTCGCCGAACCGTCCGCTTCGCTACGTCGACGACGCACCGCACGCCGCGGCCGTCGGCAGCAAGCTCTCCGCCTCACCTCGACGTCGCCGCCCCGGCACACACGGCGCCCGCGCTCGCGTCGCTCACCGACCCGCTCCCGGCACCCGTTCCCACGTCGACCGCGACGCATCGCCCGCGTTCGCCCGTTCCCACCCGGGCGCGTCCGCGTTGCCGTGCTCCCACGCCGCCGAACGTGGCCCGGGTCCACCGCTTCCCACCGTGCGCGGCGCGCACGCCGTGTTGGGGACCCGGCCAACGCGCGCGTCGGCCGCGTTGAGCCGACGCCGACGCCGACGCCGACGGGACCCAAGCGTCCGCGTTCTCACGACGTCGGCGGCACAGGCCTCGCGCTCAGCGAGGGAAGCGAGCGATGGAGGTCGCGCGAGCGCGAGGGGGTGAGGGCGCGAAGGTGGCAGCGTGGGACCGAACTTGGAGCCAAGGCCCGCGTTGGCGCGTTGGCGCATCGGTGGCCGCACGCGCGTTGGACCGGCGGCAGCGGCCCCACACAGGCCGACCTCATTTCACGTTGTGGCCGGCCGCAGCGAGGCAAGCAATTTCGGGGGGTGTCCAGGGCGAGGTGCACGCGCGGTCGCGCGGTGAGACAGGCGGGGCAAGCCGAAGCGAAACGCGCGTTGGGCGGCCGACGCGTCGCGCCGCACTGGCTCCACTCTGCGCGCCCACCCGCTCCGCCGCCGACCCCACCTCCCCTCGCTGCCGCATCCGCGTTGCGCTGACGTGGCTCGCATCGAGCTCCCCGCACTTGCCGCAATGGACTCCGCACGCCAGATCAGCCGCCCGTGGCCCCGCGCCCGCGTCGCCGACGGGGGAGCGCGCCTGCCGCACACGGCGCTCGCGCCGCCACTGCTGGGCCCCGCGCCGCCGCGCCGCCGACTATAAGTACCGGCCGGTCCCCCGCCCTCCTCCTCGGTTGGTCCGGCAGGATCCCTAGTCTCCACCGAGCTCTCCGACCCTCTCTCTCCAACCACATACCCACCACCACCATGTTCGGCTTCACCTCGGCCCGCCCCAACCCCACCCACAACACGACGCTGTTCATCTCCGAGGGCGACTCGTGGATCGGCTTCTACGCCGGGTGGTCGGCGCTCAAGCAGGCGCACAAGTTCAACAAGGTGATCATGGGCGTGCGCAACGAGGACAACGAGTACGTGCGCGAGCTGCACAAGCTCGGCGCCGAGATCCAGCGCTACGACCCGATCAACGACGCCAACCGCCTCAAGGACCTGCTCAAGGGCACCGACTCGCTGCTCCTCATCCCCGTCCACGACGAGCACAAGATGGTCGAGGCCTCGGAGAACATCCTGCGCGCCGCCGAGCACAACAACGTCGGCCGCGTCATGCTGTGGTCGCACGTCGGCGTCGAGCACCACGGCGGCAACGTCGCGGCCGTCGCGGGCACCAAGCCCGTCCGCCCGACCCACGAGTGGATGAAGGTCCTCGAGTGCTTCGCCAAGCTCGAGAAGTCGGTCCGCGACTCCAAGATCAAGAACGACGTGATCTTCCGCCTCGGGTTCATCAGCCAGGCGTACGTGTTCTTCTCTTCGCTGCTCGCTCGCCCCTTTCGAACCCCCCACTGACTCGCCACCGCTCCCCTCCCACCCACCAGCTTCTTCGCCCTCTCGAACGTGATGCAGAACCGCGGCCTGTTCCCGCTCACGTCCAAGGACGGCAAGATGGCGCCCGTCAACGCCAAGGACGTCGGCCAGGCCGGCGCCGTGCTGCTCGCCGACCCCAACCTCTTCGACAAGCACAACAAGCAGACGCTGATCCTCACGGGCCCCAAGGCCTACACGGGCCCCGAGCTCACCAACATCGTCAACAAGACGCTCAACGCGCGCATCGAGTTCGAGGAGGTGCCGCTCGACTCGATGCACGAGATCCTCGAGAAGGGCGCCGACGCCGACAAGACCGAGATCGCCATCACCATGGCCGGGTTCCAGCTCCTCCACGAGAAGAAGCTCGACATCGTCTCCAACGACCTCCACAAGGTGCTCGGCCGCAACCCCGCCGACATCGACACCTTCTTCCGCGAGAACGCCGACTCGTTCCGCCCCCGCTCGGTCGCCGGCTACGCCGTCCGCGACGCCGCCGCCCGCCAGTAAGCGGCAGGTCGTGGGTCGGCCCTCGTGTACAACAGCAGCAGCAGCAGCAGGAGCAGTCGAGCGCCAGAGTGGTGTGTCTTGTCGTGTTCTCTCGTGTGTGTGTGTGATTCGTGGCGCTCGTGTGTAATATCATCGATGGGGCCTCGTGCCCCTGGTTTCTTTTGAACTCTCTCTCTCTCGTCTTGTCTCTTGTTCTGCACCTCAGTCTACCGCTGCTCGCGACGCCCCACGAGCTCGCCTCTCATCGACCGAGGCTGATAGGTCCACACCACGAGCTTTCCTCTGACAGGGATCTCGCGCGACAAGTCTCTGCCAGAGCGAGCGTTTGACGACGCGAGACGCGTCGATCAATCATGTGAGCGGCTCGGACGATGAAACATGCTCGTTCAGCTCGCTTTGTCTCGACGCGCTCTCCCCTCGCCCGCCGCCACCCATGAAACTTGAACGCAATCAAATGAATAGTCACTTGGCGCAAGGTTCGCCTACTGCTGGCCCGAAGCTCGACCTCGGTGCGCTGCCGGTGGAGCTGCTGATCGCCGTCATGCAGCTCGCGCAACCGCGCGACTGCGTTTTGGCCGCAACGCGCGAGCTTCACACGGGAGCGTCCGATCCCATCTTGCATTATGTGTGGAACCACCGTCGTTTGTCTCCCTGGATCCACAGGGCACTAGTTGAGCTCAAAGCCTATGGCGGGGCAGCATACACCGACCTTGCCAGCTACTTCTCCCGCGTCCACTCGGGCTCGGCCGTATGCCCGAACAACAACTTTTACCGTGCCGCTTCGACGGTCTTTCTTCAGCTCATCAAACCTCTTGCTCTTAAGCCAGAGATTCTCGCGGACCGCGTTGGGCTCAACGCGTGTTTGACGGGGCTCTTGTACAGCAAGGAAAAACTCCACATATTTTGCGCGCCGACGGGGCTGAGCATCAGCGTACCCGACTTCTCGCACGTGCAGCTTCTCGTCGCCGCTATTACACAGAGCGACGCGTCGGCGACCCGACCAATGCTCCAGGACACGCTCGAGCTGGTACCCGCGCTCCTTGCCGTCGAGCGCGCTGACTGGCCGCGCTCGCATGCGCCTGTCGGGTACTCTCGTGCCTATTCCGAGCCATTTTCACGGCCGATTAGCCTCCTGACGTACCTCGCAGCGCTCGCTATCCGGTTTTGGAAGCCCGAGTTCCTCGAGAGGCTCACCGGCCTGGACCTCAAACTTGACGCGTCGGCTCTTCTCCACGTGTTCACTTCCGCGAAAAGCTTCACTGGTCTCCCGCCCTACGACCCCAGGGTCGGGTCTGTTTCGAATGCGACCCGCACGTTCGGCTGGCTGCACCAGTCCGCACCGGCGGTTCTTGACGGTAT